TCTGTTAGAGCTACACTGGTGCCTTTTCAGGACTTACTTTAACTGGACAATTACATAGTCTAAACGGCAGGTGGGACTTGAGATGGGTTATAGATCTCCACAGGTACAATTTGGAATAGAGTCGTACTTTGAATAAAATCTCGCATTCTGATTGGTTAACGAATCGAGGTGTTAAGCATGAAATTGCGAGTTGAAAACGAGGCTAACTGATATTGTTTCGCATCTACTTATATATAACAACTATAAGTAATGCTGTTTCCTTTCTTTTTTCTTGTTTTTATTCAGTTATGCGATTCAAGGAAAATCCATGACTTGACTCGTGAATTCCGCGTTAAATTGCACTTGAAAACCGGTATCGTACTCATCGCTTGGCGATTCGTGCGGTATCGGTTTTCAAGTGCAATTTAATGCGGAATTCCCTCGTCAAGTAATGAATTTTCCATAAAATACCCATCTACCCTGCATTCAAATTGATGTTTATATCGAACTTAATTGATAAGTTTTCTTCTGACTTTTCCTGTATATTTGGTTTGTTTGTTGTTGTTGTTGTTTTTTTTTTTCTGAAGTTAGATGAGCTATCATGACATTTAGCGCTATCCACCCGCAGGTTTTCACACCAGAATGTATGATCCACTATCTGAGGATCTTGAATTTTCTGTGGAGAGCAAAGAGAATGGAATACTGTTTGACTGAAATGTGGAAACAACAGATGACAAATCGCAGGATGTTAAAATCTTTACCAGGTAATTTGTTTGTAATACTATTCAATGTAAGTTTTCTTCCTTAAGAATCACTAACAGGACGTGGAGATTATTCAATTGTTTCTTAGCAGTTTGTTTTAAGGTTCTTTTCAACACAGCGGTCTAACGTGGGGCATGTGTAGGGGGATCAATTCTGCCCGACCGCGCGCCAATTTCCCGCGCAAAATTTCAAAGGTAAAACAAAGAAACAACCGCTGTCTCGCAAAATAAGCGAAAGAAAATTGAAACGTCCATAGAAATTTGTAAAAGGAAACCAAAGTATGGAAAAGGAAAACGTGAGACTTTTCAAACACAAAGCTTATTCAAGTATGGATATCCTAGTGATTTCCCTTTCATATTGGCGCTTTACCGAAAAAGTTATACGCCTCTAAAATACCTTGACTGACTGGTTTGTGTGATTGTTTACAACTCGTGTGAGACAATTTGGTTCTGAAAGGCTGAGAGAACGCCACCTACCTGTACAACGTTCGCACATGCGCAGATTGTGTTCGTTTCACACGTAAAGCACTATGGCAGCCTCTTTGTAACAGTAAATGATTTTAATTTCCTGAAGACGAAAAAAGAACCCATGGTAATTCTGACCTAAAGGTTTCGCATTGACTTAAAAACAGCTCTGTTATTGTACATTCCATTGAGAAAAAGACATGTTATCTTTTCACAAAATTCTTTTCGCAAAATTCTCCACGCTCCTGTGTATTGTCAGTAATTCTCCAATACTCTAAACCATTTTCATTATTTTGTTTGTAACGAACAGAAGTATCCCCCATTCTTCACATGTGCCACATGATGGGGACAGAGATGATTCATTTTATTCATCAGATGCAGTACTACATCACATTTGAGGTACAAACATGTGACGCACTGCTATCGCTCCTCCCCCTCTTCTTCTAATTATTTTCCCAGTACCTAAATGATTAGCAAGCTAGATTGAGTTAGAACTTCAGCTAGGTGGTCCACTTTGCCAGAAATTGACCATGTTCCCATATCATGAAACGACCAGGATCCAATTGTTCGAAGGCCGACTAGCGCTAACTCAGAGTTATATTTTAATCCAGATTTCTTTATTTCTCTACTCAGGACCCTTTCTGGGATAATTTTCCTTATTCTTTTCAGAGAATCCAATCTTTAAACTGTAGAAGAAAAGAATTATTATTATTTTTTTTAACAACTCTATTGATCATTACACATATTACATACAGCAAATTAGACGACCTAAAAGAAATGGGATATATGTACAAAGTGATTTAAAGTGATAAGGAGGAAAGGTCAAAAGGGCTGGTGCGAACGGGACTCGAGGACCCATGCGAGGCACTAAAAGTGATAAGGAGGAAAGGTCAAAAGGGCTGGTGCGAACGGGACACGAGGACCCATGCGAGGCACCGCCCATGGTACAGATAATGATTTAAAACACGATCAACCAAAAAACGGTTAAAAACTAGGGATGGCAGGGGCAGGAACGTACAATTGACCAGGCACAAGGTCAGGAGAAAAGAATTAAACTGAATTTTCTTTTAAAGCTTTCAAATCTGAAGTCAAACTTCACACAAACCCTGGGTTATCTTAACCCAGCCTTGAACAACCCAGCCCAGGAGTATTTCTACCTCCTCCCTCCCTGGATAGGATGCTAGGCCATCTCAGGGTTACCCTCACCCCCACCCCCAGAATTTTTTTGTCTGGTTTCTTTGACGGTTCGCTGGTAACGATTTATACTCTTAGGGGGGGGGAGGGGCGATGAGAGATAAGTGTATTGCCTTAGGTATCGCACCCGGAGTTAAGCGCGCCAGCTGGGCGTCTCTCTCTACCTTCTAGCCCGAGGGTTTGTAATCCTTTTTTTTTTTTTTTTCCTGTTATGTAAAATGCGGCTTGGAGGTCGACATAACAATCTGGTGTTTACCCTCTGTTTGACACAGTGTGTTCCCCACCCCTTTTTGAAAAATCCTGGCCCTGTCCTTGTAGCTAACCAAGGAAACTGCCCCAACTACATGTATGACCTTAAATGCAATGCAGGTTTACACACACGCAGTGGGCGGTACAGTGCCTTAAACCTCGTCTGCCCCAGATATAATCGCGTATCTGAGGGAGGGAGAACTGTTAGCGTGTCCGCAACCAGGCTCTGGAACTCTCTGCCTATTAACCTTAAGAAAGTAACATGTGTAACCTCATCTAGAAAGGCTATTTATAGACATTTTTTAACCAGTTACAATGACGTTGATCATTTTAGCGTAACTGAAACTTAATTTTATTGATAGTTTTATGCTAATCCAACATTTCATAACCTTCCTCTTGCTCGACCTATCCCAGCTGTATTCTTATTGTAATTATAGTTTATAGATATTCGTTGTAAGAATATTTTTATAAGTGTAATATAGTTTTTACTATTGTTAGTCCTATTCATACATACACTTATACTTCCTTTCTTTACGACATGTATTTTGTTACTTAACTCTGTTTTACAAATTTAGTTTGAGGGCCACTAGTTACTCAGTTGAAGCACTGTCACGTGTTACCCTCGTTAAATAAAGTTGATTGATTGATTGATTAACCTTTCAAGTGCTGTAAATAAAGAAATAAATGTCAATTGTATTCAGGTATTGGAATGTTGCTGGGCAGACCTGAAGAAACAGGTTGCAGAAGCCAGTGATTTGGATCATATTATTGCCGCACATGAAACATTCCTGGACCAGGTTCTCAACCGCTGCCTTTTGGACACCGAGTCAAGAGTAAGTTATGTAGTTCTTCGTGGACTGGACTGAGCGCTTTTCAATGGAGTGTCGTAAAAACAAAACCAAAGTAATCACAATGGCCAATCAGGAAAAAGGAAAAAACCTTCAAGAGTCAATGAGAACTCAGAGTCAAATCAGCCAAACTGCCAAAAGCGCGGAAAAACGCGGGTTAACCCTAACTGCCAAAAGCGCGGGAAAACGCGGGTTAACCCTAACTGCCAAAAGCGCGGGAAAAAGCGGCTGACCAAGCCGTGATTGGTTTTAGTTTTGCATCCGGTTGATTGCGCGAGTTTTGTGGACCAATCACCGAGAGAAGTAAGGCGAAAACGAGGCAATCTCGGTTTACTTTCGACAACCAATTAAAAACTGCTTTAGTGTAATCTCCATGTAGAGCATTTGTTTTAAGTGATGTTATACCTAAACCGAGATAAAATATCAAGGGCTATTCAGACCGAATAAAAAGCGAGGAGGACTCTAAGTTCAAACATGAGTATTGCAGGAAAGCGCGAGAATTTTGCATTTAACGGGACAGTGTGAACTCAAAATGAAAACACGCAAACGTTTTAAGTTGGTGGAGGAAAGCATAGGAGTTTTGCATCTGACTAGTATAGGGGCTTTGAAGATTTGTTTAGACCAGTCATCATCATTGATCAGTGACACACTGACTCGGTGCGCCTCGTGTTGTTAATGATACCATCATCTGTCGTCTATTACTAAACAGACGTACGGAAACATGGAGTCTGTATTTTAAAATGTTAACACCCCTCTTGAGAATATTTCTATCGTGAAGTATTTTCACTAATTTTATTTCATGCAATTAAAGTGTTATCACTGTCGTTTTTTCTGCAGCCGATGCTGACCCAACTGCGGACCATCTTTGATCTAATCATCCAGTTTCAGAATGCACAAGAATCTTTCTTTTCTGCTGCAACCACTGAACTACAGTCTCGGCAGAGATTAGAAAAAGCTGTTGAACTTCGAACGGACGAGGTCAGATCGTGCTCTGTTTTCCTTAACGCTAAACTTCATGAGGACCCCTAAATGAAAGAAAATTTATTTTACCCTTATCATGTCAAGTATTTATTATTCCACTATTACGCCAATTTTTCCCACAAGGGCATTGGAACGCGCAAAATATACCACATTTCACTGTAGACTAGGACAACGACCCAAATTTGATTTTATTCCGAATTTTAGGTTTTGTCTTTTAGAGCAACAAAATTAAAGCGCATCAGATTTTTTGTAGGCCGTTTAGAACACTTATGGATTATATTTTCAGGCTTTGTTTGCACAACTGCTTATGGAGCGTTCATAACTACGACGATCACTCTCATCTTCAAAGAATACTTCGATGCTTGGATAATGCTGAAAACTTGAAGCCAAACCACTCGAAAATGACATAATAGTGGAATAATAAATCCCTTTTTCGATGGTTTAACATGTAGTATACGAGCTATATTTCCTCGTTGCCTGTAAAATACAACACAACTCGCAAACTATCCGCCCGTATTAAACCTAATAAGATGTATGTATCCAGTAAACAAAAATTTTGAGATTTAATGATGGACGACTTAGTGCAGTACACATCAAAATTAGTAGTTACATTCTCCGTACGGTTCTCTCCAAATTTCCTATGCTGCTGGCAAGGAGAATTTGTGGAACAATCTAGAGTTTCTTTTGTCGGTAATCATTTCCTGTATTCTTATAACATTGATGTTTGATTTGGAGTGATACTGTGAGGTGGTTCTGTTCTAGGGATTAAATAGTTAGGGGATTGATGAAGAATAGCTTAATGAGATTTTTTTACTTAGTTAGACGAGACAGGTTGTGTTTCTGGAGCTTATGTTTGATTTTCTTGTTAACCAGGGTGACTGGGGTTTGACGGAGTGGGACGAAGAAGAGGAGAGGAAGCGGTCTGTGAAGTTTATAGATAATGTTATTCCAGATACTCGAGCTCAACTAAAAGTGGTGTCCAAGTCCTACCAGGTGAGGCTATGACTATTATGAAAGTAAAGTTTAGCGCCAGTTCTAAGCTGCTAGACTTTTTTTTTTTTAATCCATAATCAAGGTTCACTTCCTCCGGAACAATTTTCAATCGAAAGAAATGTGGGACTGAAAACGTTTTGCGTTAGTTTGCCCTTCCATTTGTTTTCTTTAGTTTAGTTTGAGTTCTCATTGGTTGCTTGTGATATTTTACTTCGTTCTGATTGGCCATTAATGACAATAGTTACAATCCCATCGACCAATCGGAATGAGGGTTTACATTATCATTGACCAATGCGAACTTAAAGTGAAAACAACCAAACTGCTTCAGCGCGCGAAAACGCGGCTGACCAAGTCCTGATTGGTTTTAATTTTGCAACTAATTGGCGGAAAAGAGTGGCGCAAGTTCCTGGACCAATCACAGAGCTTAATTTGACACTGACATTGATTTTAATATTCTTTTCCTCCAGGATATGGTTCAACAGTTTCTTATGATGCTGACCAGTCATCAAGATGTCAGCTTGAGGTTCCTCAGCTTCAGACTGGACTTCAACGAACATTACAAGAAAAGGGAACCCAAATTACGAAGTCCTCTTACGCACAGATATAGTAAACGTGTTAAGACCCCGGTACCCTAGAACGTTCTCTGCCTCTATTACGCTCTCAGAGCCTTCGTTACCTCTGTCCAGCGGAAAGGGAGCAGGGGACTCTGATTTGCTGATAAATCAAACAAAAACAAGGATGTGAAAAGAACGAGTTTCTGGGCAAACTAAAAATAATGTCTTTGACCCGAGTCTTGCGGTGACAAGGAAAACCAAGGGGATTGTGTCAGGGAGCGAGATTACCTTTACATTAAATTTTCCCGACCCTCAAGTTTTTTAGTGCAGTTTTGCTAAAAAAAAAAAAATGTGTAGAGATCAATTCAGGATTTCGGACCAATTGTAATTTAAAGGTCGGCACACACGAGGGGACTAGTCCCTG